TAAGATTTGAACTTACATATTTCATACACGGTATTAAAAATTATTTGTTTCAAGCTGTAAGCGTAATCTCTATGAAATAATAAGTAAAAAAATAATATTGCGTGACATAGTAGTTTTGACGTTTCTGATGTATACTAATATTTTGACGCATGTGTCATTTGCCCCATTTTGCCCCACCTATGGGGCAGAACAGGGTACCTCCTAAAAGCTAAAGTCAGAAGGTAAAAAATATCTTTATTTTTGTATTCATAAGTATTGAACAATAAAATACATATGTATCTTTAATTATTTTCGCATAGAGCGCATAAGTGTGTAGCATCATCGTCATCTTCATCAACTCCTGCACACGAATTATGTGCCCATTTGGAGCATGATCGGCAACGAATCCACCCTTCTTCAGAGAAGTCATGGCAGTATAGACACTCATCTTCTGCAGCCTCTTCTTCACTATCAGATGAAGCAGGAGTAGGAATTGGCATTTTTTTCTGAACAGTAGATGATGTTTTTTGTTGTTTGGCTGGTTTAACAGTGCCTTTTTTATTTTTAAGCAGATTTATTTTTACGGTTTGGTCTGCTTTTCCTTGCCTTTGATTTTCAGCATTCCGGAACTCGTCCTTATATGGCGATGATGTCAAAATCACAGTTTTTCCACGTTTTCTGGTAGTCCTTTTACTTGTCTGTGATACTTTGGGAATTGGCAAAATGATTTGGGGACTAGCACCTTTAAAACTACTACAATTCAGATCTGGTTGAGAAGTTGAGTAAATGGAAGATTGTGCCGAAGTCGATGGACTGAAAATATTTTGTACAATCATGGATGGTTGGGACGAAGTTAGATGGATGGAAGTTAGATGTTGCTGCCCTGGAGGTGACTGGGCAGAATCTTTGAAAGCTGTAGTACTCTGGACTTGCATCTCCCTTGTATCATTGAGAGAAAGTTCAATGTTTGTCGTTGCAGAAGGTAAGAAATCTTCATCTTTAAAAACATTCATGTCACATGGCCAGATTAAAGTTTTTCGAAAACCATTTATAGCGGCTGTGCTCATCGCTGCAGCCTGTATAAAAGCGGCCCCAAATAACGAAGCTATCTGAAACAAGGTAACGACTTTTCCAGGATTACATCTCAACCATTTACGTACTTCATCCTCGTAGTACTTACTTAACGGTTTCATAAATGCCACGTCTAGTGGTTGAAGTCGGTGAGAACAATGGGGCGGAAAACACAACAAAATTACCCCATTATCTCGTGCAAGATCAATTAATTCCAAGCTCTTGGTATGGGTGGAGTATCCATCTAAAACAAGCAGAATTGGTTTCTCTTTTTTGGCTCCGGTAAAAGAAATAAATCTTTGAAACCAAACAACAAACAGTTCCTTGGTCATCCACCCAGTCTCCTGAACCTCAGCAAACGCACCCGATGGAAGTCCAGTCTGGAATTCTTGCTGCATGCGTTTTCTGGGAAAAATTAACATTGGGGAACATATGTCCCGCTAGCGGAGAAACAAATTTCAGCGGTAACAATTTGACCTCGTTCAGCTGAAGTTAAAATTCCGACCTGACGACGTCCTTTCTTGGAAATTACTTTAGAATGACCTTTAGGATTTACTGTTAAGCCCGTTTCGTCGCAGTTATATATTCTATCCCCTGTTAACTGATGGGTATCCAAAATATTTGAAAGAAGGTCGAAAAATTGTTTTACTGCGACTTTATTAAACCCCATTGCTCTAGCTGACGAGGTAGCTTCTGGCTTTCGTAAGCTAAGATTAGGATGCCTATTCAAGAATCCTTTTACCCAGTCTAAACCTGCTTTTGAATTTTTAAACGGATGAACAATGTTGTTGCGTTCTGCTAAATCAAAAGCAAGTTCTCTTAATTCATTCATGGTCAGACCAAATAGTTGAGCTTCCACGGTGGTCAAATAAACTGCTAGTTCTGCTTCTTGTTCTATTGAAAAGATACATTTATAACGTCCAAGCGTTTTCTGAATTTTGTATTCGGAATTGTTTCGCTTTTTTTTAACGTAGCGCTCTAATGTTGTTTGGGTATATTAAATTGCTCAGCCGCTTTCTTATATCCCATGAAACCATCTATAACTAGTTGCACTGCCTCGTGCATCTGTTGTTCACTCCAACTTTGTTGTCGATCTGTTTTTCTTTTATAATTTCTTACCATTATTATCTGAAGAAAAATAAAATGTAATTAGAATAATCAAACACCAAACATATCAATTCATGGGGCAAAATGGGGTAGTACCCATTTTGCCCTACCCCGTTTTGCCCCAGCTGCATATTTGTGATTATAGTGCAATAATAAATTTAATAACACTTGAAACGTAATAATACTAACAAAATTATAAGTTCACACCTTAGACAATGACATGAAATAAATAGCTATTGAGTGAATATAGTTCCAGTCTACTTACTTTTGTAAACGAAATATGTAAATATTGCAATACCACTATCAATCCTCACTATTCAACGAATTCATCGACTTTGGCGCGCTGTACAGCCAAACGGCGGCATCAGGTGATGTCGTACCACGTGAACACGAAATTCCTGGAGATGTAGCTCAATTGCACTAGTGGTTTGGAAAATAAGAGGGGTACCCCGTTTTGCCACACTACCCCGTTTTGCCCCCCCTACCCTATATGTTTTAATATTTTTTTAAGTTCCTATTATATTAATTTTAAAAAAATTCTAATGAAACAAGCATATTCAAAATATCCAAACTTAATAATGCTAATACATTTAAGTAAAACAGTAAAGTTTTAATGACAATGTTTAAGTGTCAGATAATAGAACAGGGTCTGTCGGGTAGAGTTATTAAAACAAAATTTTTCCAAGAGGAGTAAATATAGAAAAAAATGTTTATAAAAACTAAATCAAGTTTTTAATGTACTAAACTGTTTTTATTTTTAGATCATAAAATCATCGTATTCATATGTAACACTTCTGAATAACACAACCTAGATCAGTCAAATAGATAGATATAAGGAATAATGAGAACTCGACACGACTAGCTTAGACCAGAGCAGGCACAGCAAGTTCCTTATACAAGTACCTTATTCACTGCGGTACTAATTGTTTGTTTATCTAATATTTTTAGATCATAACATCATCGTATTCATATGTAACACTTCTGAATAACACAATCTAGATCAGTCAAATAGGTAGATATAAGGAATAATGAGAACTCGACACGACTAGCTTAGACCAGAGCAGGCACAGCAAGGTCCTTATTCAAGTACCTTATTCACTGCGGTACTAATTGTTTGTTTATCTAATATTACTGGTAACATTAATTTTTTAAATATATAGTTATTATTTACTGTTATTTAATAAATATGTTTTGTGACAGTATTACCTTTTGTTATGTAACCGATATCCCGAATTAAATCAATTTATACAATTATTAGAAGTTTATGTCTTTTATGCTATACATGTATGAAAAATGCAACAAAGGGCATAAAAATAAAAGGCGAATTAACGAAGAATATAAAATATGTCGAGGAGACGGTGATTATTGCTAATAGCATGGAGCAATGGAAAGGATTATTGTGGTTAGTTAGGGCTACGGCCTAGGCCTCAACTTCAAGAAGACAAAATTGATGCTGATAATCAAAAAGCGGTAACCTGCTTGACAGTTACGGATAAACAACGGGAATCATATAAAATTATATGTATACCTTAGCACCAACGTAAATTCAAAATATGAACATATCAGAGAAATTAAGGCAAAAATAAAACAAGTTACAGCAGCATTTAACAATATGAAAAAGCTACTCATAAGCATGGATTTTAGAAGTATCTTCCTTTAAAACTACTAATTAAATGCTACCTGGATTCAAGATGACGTCCGATCGTTAAGTCACAGTATTAACAGCGGAACTAAATGAGCTAAAAAAGCTTACCTTACTTACTTTTACTTAAAAAAGTTACCACTGTCCGGTTCTATTCCTCAGTTATCAGATTACGTTAATAAATGAACACAAACAGTGCATAACGGTATTAAAGCATTAAATGTCGAACATAATCTAGACGTTATTATGTGTGAACAGTGTATAAAGACTAACAAGGAACTTACTAAACTAAAAAGTGAACTTGCAATAGTAAGTAAACTATTATTCCATCAAGAAAAACGTACGGAGGAGCAAAAAAACTTGTTTGTTTAAAATAAATTAAATTATTATCTTTCAAATTATATTTTTGTGTTTCTAACTTTTCTAAAATATCTTTTATCTAGTCTTTCTAAGGTTAATTGTATTAAGATTTATTGGTGAAAAATTTGAACTTTCATTTTGAAAAATATTAATAGAAGGAATAACTTTTGGAAGATTTATATGAGCAAAGTGAGTACTAATTTTTTCTGTTTGGAAGACTTCATTCTTGATTTTCACGGTATATTCGGGAACTGATTTTAAAACATAGCTTCCATGTATTGGTAAATTTTCTTTTGAATTTGGGCACTCGATAATTGCTAATTCTTCTTCTGGAACTGTAATTATCCATTTTCCGTCGCTGATTCTTGTAGATTCTATCTTCTTTATCTTTACTTCAAAATATTCACATCATAATGTGAACTTTTTCTTAAAATTTATTAATTGGACTGCACAAGGGGCTTCTTCGGTTATCGTTAGTTTATTACTTCCTTTACATATGTACTCTTCTGAGTCTACTTCTGTGCATATAGCTTCCATGTAGATATAGCTAAATTCATTAAGTGCAAGGAAAGGTTTGTAAGGTAAATGAATAAGATAATTTAAGTTATTCATAGGAATAGGAATAAAAAATAGTTGGTAATAATCATATATTTCAGATTCAACTAATGGAATCATTAGTTGAATCTGAAATTTCTTTTCTACAACAGTTTAGAACTGCTGTAGAAAAACTAACGTAGGTCAGGATGATCGCCAAGGTCCAATAAGGCAATTTGATGGAAAGCACAAGAAAATTGATTAATTATTCAGTATAGAAAAAAGTAAAAGACAAAATGCTATTTTATTAAAGTTTAATATAATAAATTACCATTGTATAAATTTCTAACTACCACTTAAACTTTCTTATTCTTCGTTCGACCCTTTTTAATTCATTTTTAGTCCTGTCCAAACCTCTTTCCACTTCTCGTTTAATTCTAGGACCGGGATCATTTTCCCTTAACGTTTCACTAATGAATTCTTTAACGCCATCTTTCGCACCTTCCTTAACTTTATCATTAACAATGCTTTCAACATCTTCATGTTTAAGTGTACTGGTAGCCAATTCCTCTTGGTTAGTCATTATTGCAACTATATTATTTTTAATATCTTCGTTTGATTTTAAAATGTCTTCCTGTTTTCCTTTGGTATCCAAAATATCACTGTGAGCACTTTCTAGTTTTGTAATTATTACTGTTGTAGTTTCTTTGTCTGCTTCTTGATTTTCAACTACTTTTTCCATTAAGGTCGTACTTTCTTTAAACATGTTAAGTGTCTTTTGCTGTATATATTCTAATTCATTTATAATGTTATCATAACATTCTTTAAGCATTGTTAATGCTGCTTCGTGCTTTTGTTGCCTATCTTCCATTGCTTCGTCACTCAATTTTTGTCTCGCCAATATGGCTTCTTCGAAACGATTTTTACTCATCACGTACTCTTTAATTGATAGCAATAATTTATCCGTGACATTTATTGTATAAATAGGATTTTCAAGGGAGTTGTCCAAAGTCCAAGTTTGCATGATTTCAGTTTCGTCTTCCCACGAAAATAGTTTTCTGTATCCATACTTTTCTGGTTTTGTGTGATCATTTTTGTAAAACAAGTTTCTTACAGGAATATATATTCCTGACTTGGAATAGAGCTTGTCTGTTTTTATTTTAATTTCTTGTTTGGCATTGTCGTTTTTTGTAACAGATTTTCCTTCTTTTTTGCCACCTCTGTTTCGTTTAGAGTCACCATATAGAACACCTACAAAAAGAAAAATAATAAATAAAGTCATATAAAAACTGTAAAATTGTCTGTGTTTTCTCAAAAATTTAGTATTATATATCTATTATACATACAAAAAATCACAAAATACTTTCTCTAGGAGATGAAGCATTTGGTGTGTGAAGGGGTAGTGAAGCGCAACATATGATGCCGTATCCTGTTGGCGTCACTTAGCCTCTCCTACTCAATTCCTATCTTCACCTCCAAGCTGGTACACACCGGTAACCTGAGCAACCCCACTGGAGATTGGGTAACCAACCCCCAATGGAAGGTGGGGTCAGGGCTGACGAAGAAGGGAGTCTTGGTCCTCCGACGAATAGGGGGTTGGGCTGAAGGTTAACTACCTTCTCCTAGAAAAACCATGAGTTATGAACGTTCAAGGAAGAAAAGCCGGACTGATTAAACGACGACGACTGTGCGAGAAAAAGGAACACGATTTGAGGGTTGCGACATGGAATGTTCGAACATTGTACAGATTAGGGGCTCTCCAAAATCTCTTAAACGAACTAAGTAGATACAAAATTGACATAACTGCCATACAAGAAATGAGGTGGATTGGAAACAATATTATGGAAAAAAAGAGCCATACCATTTTCTACAGCTGCGCTCCTAAAGATCACATTTTGGGCACTGGATTCATAGTTAACAAGAGAGTAAGACATATAATAAAAGACTTCAGAGCCATCAGTCCCAGAATGTGTATTTTAAGAATTAAAGGACGTTTCTTCAACTACAGCCTAATTAATGCGCATGCCCCCACAGAAGAAAAAGAAGAGGAAGTCAAAGAAGAGTTTTATGATGAATTAGAGTCCGCATACCAGTCATGCCCAAAAAGTGATATAAAAATAATTTATGGAGACTTAAACGCAAAAGTTGGAAGAGAGCAGCAATTCCAACCCACAATAGGTAAGCACAGTCTCCATGAGCAATCAAATGACAATGGCAATAGGTTGGTAAACCTAGCAAGATCACTTAACATGGTGATTGCCAGCACATACTTCGCTCGAAAAGATATACACAAAGGCACCTGGAAATCACCAGACGGACTTACAGTGAATATGATAGATCATGTTATTGTAGACTCAAGACACCAATCGAATATAATAAACGTCCGTACCAGAAGAGGGGCAAATGCGGATTCTGATCACTACCTGGTCGAAAGTAGGATAAGGGCTAGAATTTCAAACATCAAAAAGGAAAGAGGCTCTAAACATGAACGATACAATATAGAAGGACTCAAAGAAACAAACAAAAATAGAGAGTACAAAGAAAATATAAGCATCAAACTAGAAAACAGACCAAAACATGAAAACCTAAATGAGGAGTGGGAAGAGTGCAGAGAAATCATAAAAGAAACAGCTAAAGAGGTGTTGGGCATGGAAGGTAAAGAAAGAAGAACAAGAACGAATCACTGGTTTGACGAAGAATGTCAAACTATAACAGAAAGAAAAAACAGAGCATATCTACAGATGCAACAGAGGCACAGAACCCGACAAGCAGAGGAAGAATATAAACAACTACGTAAAGAAGAAAAGAAAATTCACCGAAGAAAGAAGAGAGAATATATCAACAAAGAACTTCAAGAACTACAAGAACTAAGTAAACCAACAGAGACAAGAAAATTTTACCAGAAACTCAACAAAAGCAGAAAAGAGTTCAAACCGAGAACAACGATGTGTAAAGATAAGGAGGGTAATATATTGACAGAACAGCAAGAGATACTTAGAAGATGGACAGAACATTTTAAGGAAAAGCTTGGGGTGAATAGGACGGAGATGAACCCTGATATACCATTAGACCAAGCAGACAACAGAGAAAAGAGTCCACCAACAATAGCAGAGAATTACGAACACGCCATAGTGAAGCAGATATAAACCGAGATTCCTAACAAAAGCAATGAAAGAATTTAATATACCAACACAGCTAATAGAATTGATAAAAGAAACACTAAAAGTAGAAAGTAAAATCCGGATACAAAACGAATTAACGGAAACAATAGATGTGAAGAAGGGACTACGCCAGGGAGACGCTCTATCATGCATATTATTCAACATCATACTTGAAAAAATAATAAGAGACACAACAGTTAATACCCGAGGAACAATAATTAATAAAAGCGTGCAAGTACTAGCATTTGCAGATGATGTTGACATAATCGCAAGATCAAGAAGAGAAATGATAGAGGCATTCACTCAAATAGAACGAGCTGCAAAAAATAGTGGTCTTAAAATCAATCAGACAAAAACAAAATATATGCCTGCAAATAAAAACGCACAAATAAGGCAGCTGCCAAATTTAACAATAGGAGAATACAACATTGAGGCGGTAAAAAACTTTACATACTTAGGATCCCTAGTTACGTCTGATAACAACGTTGCAGAGGAAGTGAAGAGGAGAATATTTATTGCCAATAAATGTTACCATGGCTTAATTAGGCAACTAAGATCAGATAACGTCTCCAGAAAAACAAAATGCCAAATATACAAAACCTTAATAAGACCGGTACTCACATACGGTTCAGAAACCTGGACACTCTCTAAAAGGGAGGAAACGTTATTAGCCACCTTTGAAAGAAAAATCTTGCGACACATATATAAGGGCACAAAAGAAAACGGGATTTGGCGGAGAAGGTATAACTTTGAACTATACAACATATACCAGGATCCGGATATCATAACATTCATTAAAATAGGAAGGCTACGTTGGATTGGACATGTGGAAAGAATGGAAGAAGGCGAAATACCAAACAAAATATTCAAACAAGTGCCAGTAGGAAAAAGAACAAGAGGAAGACCGAAGCTGAGATACGTAGAACAAATAGAAAATGATATAACAACATTAAAAATTAAAAACTGGAAAAAAAAGCACGAAACAGGTCAGAATGGAGAAGAATCCTTGAACAGGCCAAGACCCAAAAAGGGTTGTCGAGCCAGTGATGATGATGATGATGATGATGAAGCATTTTGTAAACCGTGCTGCAAATCGGTAAGTTTTGTTTTTTAACAAAAAGAGAAATCATACGATTTCTACCTGGCGAAATCGAATTCAAATTTTTACCACTGTGCTTTCTAAAACTTGCAAATCAAACAGCTTGATAAATTACTCGGCAAGGGAATCTAAAATTGCATTCCACATGCCGTTCATCATGGTCAAAATTCGTAGTGAATTCAATTTCTGGTACTCCAAACGGAGTAAAGAAATAAAACATAATGACGGTATTAGATTTTTTGTTTCGATACAGGGCAGCGGCAAGCCTCTTGTACCTATTTTGGCCTCTTTAGGTCTCCTCAGAGTGGTATAGCCACTACCCTGAATCGAAACAAAATCTATCCCGTCGTAGACAATAGTTATCAAAATAACTATTTACGGACGTAACTACGCCATCTAATAACAAAAAGAGAAATCATACGATTTCTACCTGGCGAAATTGAATTTAAATTTTTACCACAGTGCTTTCTAAAACTTACAAAGCAAACAGCTTGATAAATCACTCGGCAAGGGAATTTAAAAATTGCATTCCACATGCCGTTCATCATGGTCAAAATTCGTAGTGAATTTAATTTCTGGTACTCCAAACGGAGTAATAAAATTAAACATAATGACGGTATTAGATTTTTTAGATTTTAGCCACTACTCTGAATCGAAACAAATGTTTTATGTTTTATTACATTATGTTTTATTTTTTTCTCTTTCTCATCCCATAACCCAGTGGAAGTAAAATTCTAATTCAGATTCAGATTTCCAGTACTAAAAGGTACTTTATTGGCCAGCATTGTGGAACCTCACTTCACAATTTTAATTTTGTAAAATTAAAATTACGTAATTTTTAAAAAATTAACTTCTTTAAGTTGGTCCAAATATCTCTGAGGGATAGTTTCTCTGAAATATGTTCCAATTAAATCTGTCAAGATGTAATTGTGAAAATATATTTGTGTGTATATTTGTGTGCTAATATTAAGCTAATTCACTTTGTTTAATAAATAATAAGTTCTTCTTCTTCTTCTTCAGCCTGTGTTCGTCCACTGCTGGACATAGGCCTCTTCCATTTGCTTCCATCGATTTCTACTTTTGGCAATTCTCATCCACTGCTTGCCCGCGACTTGTTTGATATCGTCTGTCCACCTCTTCTGCGGTCTGCCTACTCCTCGCCTGTTCTCTCTTGGTCTCCAGTTTGTTAATCTTTGTGTCCATTTTTCGGGATTATCTCGGGCAACGTGTCCGACCCATTGCCACTTGAGCCTTGCAATACGTTCTGAGACATCAGTAATTTTTGTTCTTTCACGAATGACGTTATTTCGAATCCTGTCTCTCAAACTAATCCCTAGCATGGCCCTCTCCATTGCTCTTTGGGTTGTACTGAGCTGCTCTAAGGTTTTCTTTGTGAAGGCCATGGTCTCCAGTCCATATGTAGTTACAGGCAAGATACATTTGTCATAAACTCTACGTTTTAGACACATTGGTATATCTTTATTCTTCAAAATAAAGCTTAATTTGCCGAAAGCTCCCCAAGACAGTTGTATGCGTCTTTTTATTTCGGCTATTTGATTTTCTTTGCCGATTTTAATGGTATGTCCAAGATATATATATATATATATATATATATATATATATATATATATATATATATATATATATATATATATAGTGGTCTACATTTTCAAGACTGACGTTGTCAATAACAAGATTAGTTTGTAAATTACTCATTATTTTTGTTTTCTGAAGGTTCATTTTGAGACCTATTTTATTTGACTGCTGGTTTAATTCCTTCAACATTTGCTCCAGTTCCTTGATATCTGTACTAAATAATACTATGTCATCCGCAAACCTCAAATGACTCAAACGTACACCATCAATGTTTAGACCTTTTTCCTCCCAGTCAAGCTGTTTGAATACATTTTCCAATGCTAAGGTAAAAAGCTTTGGTGAAATAGTATCACCTTGTCTAATACCTTTATCAAGGCGCATTTTTTCAGTTTTTTCGTCTTCATTGATTTTGATGTGGAATGTGGCCTGTTCATAAATGTTTTTAATGAGTGTAGTGTACCGTGAGTCTATTCGAGCATCCTTCAGGGCTGACAAAAAGGACCAAGTCTCAATACTATCGAAAGCCTTGTGAAAGTCGATAAATGCCATATGTAAAGGTACATTATATTCTGTGGTTTTTTCTACTAGTGTTCTGATGGTTTGTAAGTGATCATTAGCACCAAACCCTTTTCTAAATCCCGCCTGTTCAACCGGTTGATATAAATCAAGTTTTTGTGTTATGCGGTTGGTTATTATTCTTGTTAACAATTTGTATAAGTGTGACAACAAACTTATAGGTCTGTAGTTTTCAATATTAGTAGTGTCTCCTTTCTTGTGTAAAAGTATTATTTCGGCGTTTTCCCATAGGCTGGGTATTCTTTTTTCTGTTAGACACTTATTCAGTAAGACTTCCACAACTTCTACAACGATGTTGCCGCCCATTTTTAACATTTCAGACGTTATACGATCCTCGCCAGGAGCTTTTTTGTTTTTCATTTGCTGTAAGGCATGTCTAATTTCCGAAGAGGTTATTTTAGGGAGGGTTTCCGAGCCGACGTTTAGAATTGTTCTGTGGTCTGTTTCGGGGTTCTGTATAGTAGATGTATAAAGATTCTTATAGAACGTTTGTATTTCCTTGATTATTTGAGTTTTTTCGGTCACCGTATTCCCCTGTTGATTTTTGATTTTAGTTATCTTTGATTTTCCTTTAGTTAAATTTGATTTCAATACTCTCATGTTTCTATTGTTTTCGATGGTTTGCAATATTTGTTTTGTTTTATAAGCCCGCAAGTCTGACCTTATGCTCTTTTTAACTTTATTGTTGATAGCTTTATACTCTGGTAATTCTTTCGATGTTCTTCTTCTTTCTTCCATTAAATTAAGTGTTGTTTGTTTCAGTTTCGTTTTTCTGGGATTTTTATTTTTATCACAGATCTTTTTTGCAGTTGATGTTATGTCATTCGTTAATTTTTGTGTTATTTCATTTATATCTTTCGTGTTGAATACTGGTAGAGGTCCTAGTTTCTTTTTTAGTTCACTTTGATATTCCTCTTGATTCATTTCGAGTGCTTCTATGTTTGGCAATTTATCCTGTGTTAATAATTTTCTTCTATCTAATTTCGTATTTATTTCTATTCGCGTCCTAACTAATCGATGATCACTACCAGTGTTGAAAGAATTTAGTACAGTAAGATCTTTAGCAATGTTTTTGAAGTTAGAGAGTATAAAGTCAATTTCATTTTTTACTTTGCCATCTGGGCTTAACCACGTCCATTTTCTCTGCATCTTTTTCTTGTAGAAGGTATTTAAGCAGAATAGTTTTTCTTTGCTGAGGAAATTTACGAGCATATCTCCCCTGTGATTTCTACTTCCCAGTCCAAAATTTCCAATATATTCGTTGTCGTTGTTATTTTCGTTCTTTCCTATTTTAGCGTTGAAATCTCCCGTAATTATTACGTAATATGTTTTCTCTAGGTTTCTGGCTCTTGTAATGTCTTCATAAAGTTGTTCTACCTCTTCATCATCTGCAGAAGAAGTTGGTGCATAACAGTGGATTATTTGAATGCTGTATCTACGATTTAGTTTTATTACCATATAGATATATAGAAATCGCTTGGAATTTGGTTACCATGTTTTCAATTCTCTTATGTACTATAAGAGAATTGAAAATAATAAGTTATTTGTCTATATTGCCTATGTATTGTTTATATGTTAAGATTTATACCTTATTTAATGAAAATCTTTGCCTATATAGGCGCCTTTTTATACATTTTTTGTTGCCTAGAAGCTCGAACTCTAATTATTATATTGAAAATAAAATATTTGGTAGTAAAAGCGCCACACAAAAACTACTTATAAATAAATGTTACATATAAATTATAAAAAAAAATTGTAGACAAACCTCTAATAAATTCATTTTTAGTAACATCCCTCTTTTGTTCAGTGCTAAGAAAGTAGTTAAATATTCTGTCAGAAGCATCTATGGCTAATTTCATCATGGCTCGTTTTTCACCTCCTTTGCATGTAAATTCCATAAACTTATTTTCAAAACTGGCAAAAATTTCTGCTGCAGCTTCCAACACCGTATCTCTAAAACATATATCAGTTAAAGTATTTTTATTTTATATATTAGATTAAACAAATCAGTTTATAGTTTTATGTAGTAAAAGCATTGTAAGTCATTTTTAAATGTTTAAAATTCAATTTTTCTCAAGCACTAATTTTTTAAATTTCATTGGGCTGGGTTATTATTCCTGTTCGATTCCATGCAAGTTAAACGTTTACTTTGTATTCAGTTCTTCCTTTGACGGAATTTTTAGTTTTTTATTGACGCTTATAAAATGAAAGTATTTGCTTCGTTATGTAGTTGCAGCAATCTGCTGATTCAGCTGTTGATTCACCTGTTGTGTCCCACATTTCGACATAATGTCAGGACATTGATTAATTCCGTTATTAACTAGAATTCTCGGTTATTTTAGCCAAGAGAATTAAATTGTTCTCAGAAGAAAAATCCCATACAATTAAACTTTAAATCTTATTAATTTCGTTTCGTTCTGATTACTGCCGTAAACGCAAGACGTAGAATTTATTGCTGGAAGAACTTCTTCCAAAAAAACACGTTTTGGCATGTTTTTCTATAAACTCTTTCTATTGACAGACTAAATAATTAAACAACCTTCTGAAATAAGAAAAATTTACTAATTTGGGTATTTCACATCTTTTGGTATATAGTCGAATTATGCTCATCTGCTTAGACACATTATTAATGTGAATAAAAACTGATTTTATAAACTAGATCTAATGTATTATTTTTATTATTATAAGCAAAAATATAATGTTCTATTGTTACAATGTAAAATGACCAGCAAGAAAACATATTTTCTTACGCACCGTCAATAATCGAATTTAAAATTTTCTAGAATTATATAGATAGATAGATAGGTAGATAGTTTATTTGACTGTAAGTTACAACAAGGTTTACAGCAAGTTAAAACTAAAATTGGAAAAAAAATAGAAACAAAACATTAAAAGTATTTAAAACATTAAAATACATAAAAAAATATAATTAAAATAATATTAAATTTGGTTATGTTGCAGCTTGGGCATTCACAGATACACTGTCGTAATATTCACCTAATGTATAAGGTACATGGTCACTAGGTAATCTTTGACTTGGTTTTTAAAAGCTGCAGTTGAATTAATGTTTTTAAATTTTTGATGAAGTTGATTAGACAGTAGTAAACCACAGACAGTAGATGACCTACTTATTTCTAAATGTCGATAGGGTACTACAAATTGCCTCTTATTTCTTGTGTTGTGTGAGTGAATATCACTGTTACATAAAAAAGTTCTTTTATTTTTATGAACTAGTATCAATAATTCCAGGGAGACCAGTGGAGACCAGTGGAGACCAGGAAATTCCTAAAGATTGGAATAAATCTTATATAAGCTCCATATATAAGAGAGGGAATAAAAGAGACTGTTCCAATTATAGAGGTATTAGTGTGACGAGCTCTGTGGGCCGGTTGTACGGCAGAATATTAAAGAAGAGGGTTGAAAGACAGATACAAGATATTGAAGAACAAAGCGGCTTTCGTACCGGGAGATCCTGCCTTGATAATATATTTATCCTACGACAAATAATTGAAAAGCGTGTCGAAAGAAGTAGAGAGACCCATTTGGTATTTATAGACCTTGAGAAAGCATATGATAGTGTCCCGTTAAAGAAAATGTTTGAGGTCCTCAAAAGGTCCGGATTGGATTCGACGTATATCCGAGCGATATATAAATTGTACGAAAATGCAGTTAGTTGTGTAAAAATTGGAACCAGAACCTCAAATGAATTTAAAGTCACTAAAGGCCTAAAGCAAGGATGCTGTTTGTCACCGACACTCTTTAAAATATACGTCCAAGAAGCATTGAGGAATTGGAGAAATAAATGTAGATTTATGGGCATCGAAGTGGGACAAGAAACTCTGTATACATTGTTGTTTGCAGATGATCAGGTGGTGGTTGCAACCGATGAGGAAGATATAAATTATATGAATCGAAAATTATTTGAGGAATATGCCAAATGGGGGCTTACTGTAAACATAAGCAAAACAGAATATTTAAAAATTGGAGGAAATACCACAGATCTGAGGCTTGAAAACGCAGTCATAAAAGGCTGCAACCAGTATAAATATCTAGGAAGCATCATATCAGCAGATGGCAGAGTTAAGATAGATGTACAAAACCGAATAACCCAAGGGAAAAAATGCATCCGAATACTGAATTCATTACTGTGGTCTAATAAAATAAAGATGCATACCAAACTTCGCGTATACAGAGCAATTGTAGAACCAATTACCACATATGGTGCCGAATGTTGGACGATGACAAAGAATGAACGAGATAAAGTAGACGTTGTGGAAATGGATTATCTTAGAAGGTCATGTCGAGTATCGAGAATGGAAAGAATCAGGAATGAGGAAATACGAAACCGTACAGGAATTAGAGATACTCTTTCAGATAGAATACAAGGAAGGCAATTACAATGGTATGGTCACGTGATGAGAATGGAGGAGGAGCGGTGGCCAAAGAAAGCCTTAATGTATGTTCCGCCAGAAAGAAGGAAAAGGGGAAGACCACCAAATTCCTGGAGAAGAGAAATTACAAAAACAATGCAATCTAGAGGCTTAGAAGAGGGAGATTGGAGAGATAGGAAAAGATGGAGGCTGAAACGCGGGAAGCGGCAATCGCCGTAGGACCCCCGTTATATGATGATGATCAATAATTTCAAATGTAAATTCAATATACTGTTAATATATTTAAATTTCTAAATAGGTTTTTACAAGACCAACCATACAGAACACCTGCAATACATCTGACAATACGCTTTTGAGTCTTGAAAACGCCCTTAATACTAGAAGAGCCCCAGACAGTTATACCGTAACTCATTGTTGTAGCATTTTTATATACTTTCGTATATATTGATGTCACCCCGTATGTAATAAAACACCGAAAAAGTATTTTTAATCCTTTTGTAACGTTGGAGTCGATAATAAACACGTTATTAAGTTTGTCGCTTAATATTGCGCATTAAATAAATATTCCTGTTTATATGTTTTGTTTATACCGAGTTCATCATCATCCAGCCTCAAGAGTCCACTGCTGAACATAGGCCTCTTCCTCATGTTTCCAACCCCGTCTATCTTGCGCCGCTCTTATCCAGTTTTTATTGAGTCTTCTTAAATCGTCAGTCCATCTTGTAGGTGGTCGACCGACGCTTCTCTTGTCTTCCCTTGGCCTCCATTCCAATAACCTCTTTGTCCATCGCCCATCTGTCATTCTGGCTATGTGTCCTGCCCATCTCCATTTTAGTCTGGCTATCTTCTCGATGATGTCAGTCACTCCGGTTCTTCTCCTGATGTTTTCGTTTGTTATTCTGTCTCGGAGAGTTATTCCTAACATCGACCGCTCCATTCTTCTCTGCGTGACTCTCAGTTTGGTAGCTGCTGCTTTTGTTAAGGTAAGTGTTTCTGCTCCGTACGTCAAGACTGGGAGGACGCACTGATCAAATACCTTTCTCTTTAGGCATGTGGGCAGCTCACTTTTAAAAGTTTCTCTCAGTTTTCCAAATGCTGCCCACCCAAGGCCGACTCTTCTCTTCAGTTCATGAGACTGGTTATCTCTGCCAATCATAATTTCATGTCCCAGGTATTTATATCTATCTACGAGTTCTATTTCTTTCCCACCAATACTGATGTTCTGGTTGGGCACCAAATTGGTCATGAATTTTGTTTTCGAGATATTTATATTTAAACCTACATTTTCTGTAGCCACAACGAGTTCCTGTACCATCTCTCTTACCATACCTAGATCTTCAGCTTTATATATCATCGGCGAAACGTAAGTTGTTTAGATATTCTCCATCTATATTTATTCCCTTTGTCATCCAATCCAAATTCTTAAAAGCATGTTCTAGCACCGTATTAAAAAGTTTAGGTGACATTGGGTCTTCTTGTCTAACCCCCGTTCTATTTTTATGCGATTACTGTTAGTATGTAATTTGACAGTGGTTGTTGCCTGCAGGTATATTTTGTATAATAATTTAGTATATCTATAATCTAGCCTGCATTCTTTAAGCGACTGTAATATTTTGCTTAGCTCAACTGTGTCAAAGGCTTTGTGAAAATCGATAAATATTAGAACTAGAGGTTTATTGTATTCCACTGCTTTCTCTATTAGGGTTTTTGTACTTTGTAGATGGTCATTTGTTCCGTAACTTTTTCGGAATCCTGCCTGTTCCCTTGGTTGAGTTATACCGAGTTGGGCGAATGATTTTTGAAGAAAATTGCATCACTCTCAGTGAGGCGCTGTCAGTGGCAGTTGGTTTCGGTGAAAGTCCGAATCTTTCTTCTGATTCTCTAATATCTCTTCGTTTTTCGTCATTTATCATGGGAAAATGTGTATTATAGTAGCAGTGTGAAGTTTTATGTGTAGTTAATAAGGTTTGGGAAAATCTTTGAATAGAAAAGAACAGGCGAGTGTCGGCGTTAAGAACCGACAAATTTGTTTTGAAAAAGTGATTCATACTCAATATAATGTGTCAGTTTTGAAAGAGTAATTACTGCTTCTATGTTTCTAAGTATCTAAGACATTTGAGGCGTTTTCAATAACTTTAAAAGATACCCACATGTGTTCCAGCTTTTAAAGAAGCGGAGTTTCAAAGTTTGACGTTCAGTTCCAACTTCCAGCCTCATTTTGATTGTCCTAAGCCTTTTCAGAATATTTCCGCAGTTTAGAGGTACATTTGGGATTGCAATGTAAGTGAAGTTTTTAACCACAGAAAGAAATTTTAGTAAAATCCCGGTAAATTTTTTTGTTGAACTTTTAAAGGAAAAATAAACATTTTCTAATAATTGCTTTCATAACAGTTTAAGAAGTTGTAATAATTAAAATTGTAGATGTTAGGGTGTGGCCTAGCTGTCATTTTAATTGTTGTCAGTTTTAAAATTTAATATTGAAATGTGACAGCTAGCTTTATTTTTTTTTGATATTTGGTAAATACCTAATCAAAACAGATATTGTTTTGCTATGTTTTTTTTTTAGAAAAAGGTTAACCTCTATGCATAGTTTTACTTAAAAAGATATTTTTTTATTTGTAATAATTTACTTCTACTACAAAATATCGCCCAGTAACAATTAAGTTCTTGTAGTATCTCCAATTTCTAGAGTTTGTGAACGGATAGGACATAGTTAGTGTTTTCTTTGGGATTTTGTATTTCTAACTATTCTATTTCTAAATATTTATATAGTATTTCTTTTGTACTATTTATAGTTGTAACTATTTGTGGCAAGACAACAATAAATATTTAATTTTTCCCTAAACCAATTTGTTTATTTCTTTAAAAAAAATTCTAACTCCTTTTTATATTCTAACCCTCTTTCATCCAGTAGGAAGATTCTTCAAAGCGGCGTCCTTTTAAATAGCATGAGAACCTTCTTGTGTTTTGTTTGTCCAGCAGACTTATGTAAGTACCCCTTTATTTCATTTTCTAGTTGCCCAATCCAATCCCATCTTCATTCACTTATCCACCACCCAGTTCTCCAAATAAACCCTGAGTAGCCGTTCGCAACGTTTCGGTTTGTTTTGCTAGCCATTAGCTAGTCAATTTGTTTGGTCAATATTTTCCCAAAGAATAATATACCTTTTTCTTTAGGTACCGTTTCCTCTAAGGAGGTTAGTAATCATCACAGCTACTTTCACTTTTAAGATTGCAGCTCTGAACAAGTCGTTGGTATTGCAATTATACCACTTTCTCAGATGGTTGAGCCAGGAGATGCGTCTTCTTCCAATACTTCGTTTTCCCTGTATTTTTCCCTGCATTATGGTTTGTAGCAACACATATTTGTCCCCTCTTATAACGTTTCCGAGATATTGTAACTTTCTTATCTTAATCGTATTCATGATTTCCATTTTCTTTGTCATCTTTCTGAGGACCTCAATATGTGTTATTCGCTCGATCCCAACTTATTTTTAATATTCTTCGGTAGGTCCACATCTCGAATGCTTCATGTTGATCGCTCACCTCTGTCTTTAAGGTCCAGGCCTTCACCCCATACAGCAGTACCGAAAACACATATGAACGTAATATTCTTATTTTTAGTTGCAAATTAGGGTCTCTACTGCATAATACTTTTCTCATCTCATTAAATCTTGCTCTAGTTTGTCCAATTCTCATTTTTATTTCTTCTGTATACTGTTATATTCATTAATAATTGTACCAAGATATCTGTATTTTTTTACTTTTTCTATTGGAACCCCTCTTTCTATGATTAAAATGTCCTGTTGTTGTGTTTTGGAAATTGTCACAAATTTTATTTTATTACCATTAAGCGTTAGTCCGCTTTCCTCACTAGACTGTCTGTAGATCTTGTATATTCTCTGCAATTACAATAGTATCATCGGCATATCTGATATTGTTGATGGGTGTGCCGTTGACTTTTATTCCAATTGTTACATTTTCGAGTGATTTTTTAATTATTTCTTTCGAATATAGATTGAACAATAAAAAGTAGAGATTAGGCAACCTTGCCTTACACCTCTTTTTATCTCTACTTTCTCCGAAAGTTCTTTGCCTACTCTGACTTTTGCTGTTTGGTTAAAGTAGAGATAAGTTATTATTCTGAAGCCTTTTTTGTCAATGTGTTTATCTTTAAGTAACTGTATAAGACGGTTGTGTCGGACCTTATCGAACGCCTTATTGAAATCAATAAAACAAACATAAAGTGGTTGGTTTACATCCATACATCTTTGCATGAAGACGTTAAATCCAAATAATGCCTCTCGTGTAACCATGGCATTCCTAAATCCAAATTTACTTTTAGTGATGTCTTGTTCCACTTCTCTGAAAATTCTTAAATGGATAATTTTTAAAAACATTTTTTGTGTGTGACTCATTAGACTAATTATACGCTGGTCATTACATTCCCTTGCCTTAGGTTTTTTGGTAATGTTATAAATGTTGATTTGAGCCAATCACTCGGAATAATACCCGTATTATATATAGTATTATATAAGTCTACTAATACATTGATCTGATCCTATGATATTAATTTAATTATTTCAGTTGGAATTGTGTCAGGCCCCGCAGTTTTAGTAGATTTTGCCAGATTTATTGAATGTATTATTTCAACCTTAGTTATATTTGGACCTATATCATGTTCCTCGCATAATTATTATTTACCTAAGAGCTTGCTTATTGTCGCTAAAGTAGTAAACGAGATCAGCAAGTAGTCTTGAGTTCTTCTTCTCTATTTTTCTGAACAACGTTACCTCACCCGTTTTTAAGGCACTTCCCAATCCACCTCCTATCTTTGGTATTGCAGAACAAAGCATACTAAGGGCAGTGACATGCATACTATTTGGTTTGGCAGGAACTGTTCGTTCTTCTAATAATTTAAGGCAGAAATCTAGATTAAATTCAATATTTTCTACGAGATAAAATGAAAATTCTTTCAGTCTTTGCAGCACAACAGTAGGATCTCGACTGGCTTCTTCTACGTCGAATTCATCATCTATAAGAAAAAATAAAAAGATTTTTAATTTTTCAGTGAGTGTGTCTGTTTTAACAATTTAAAATTAAAACAGTTAAAATGTTCTTTTTTGTTTTTGTTCAGATATTTATTCTGCTAAGAAAGTTGGCACTTTCATTCAAGTCAATGTAACTACATTTCTTGTCCTCAAATGTATTAATTTATCACCATAGGAACTACGTCTCTTGCTCAATTATTTCTTTCTTAGATTCTTTCTTATATTATAATTTCGATCATCAAGTTATAACGTTTCTACTCACGACTGTCATAGATATTGGAATTTTCTACTTTTAATGGTACTCAAAACTTCCTTGTCTTTTCAGATTATATTTAATGCCATTTGTGAGGTAATCCACCGAGCTTGTTTACGGTATGATTCTGTCAGTATGTAGGTCACTGTCATAATTTTCGACATTAATAAATAATTTTCGTTTAGTGGTCGTCTAGAATTGCAAATCTCCTCGTCTTGTACGACTCTCGTCACTTGCGGTCGGTAGCGCACGAGAAAGTTCGAGTGAGACGCACGTTTTCAGTCATTGGGATAAGATTATTATATTTGCTTTCTTCGTTTTTTTATTGTTTTTTTTTGCCCTAAAATAATTTTTTTAAGATCTACGAATATTATGTTCCTTGTTTGTAGTACTACTAGCTTTGTAGAAATATATTGTTTGTAATATAAAATTCTGAAAACATTGAATTTCTGTTTCTAGGTGTTTAATCTAAATTTCGTTGGAGAAATGTAAAAATACCCTTAATTGTATAATTATACAATGAAAGAATATGCCAATATGCTAATATGGGTATATAAAGGTTCTTCCTGGTTAGCAGATGTGAGCAAAGAGCAAACTGAATCGACTAGTGTGCGGTGAACAATACTGGTGCAGCAGGGTTCATACAAGACGAGCACGTTGCATGAACTTAGACGCGTGCCTTCGATGGATCCATGTGCGGACGGCCTCGACTTCGACGACTCATCATTGAGTTTAAAATTGTCATCGTCATCACTAAACTATATTTCATCATCACTCGATTCTTACAATAGTTGTAATAGTTCCTTATCAGTGAGTTTTTTAGGATTTTTACACACCAATTTACATTTTTTAATGCCTGACTGCCCTGCATTACTATCATTCATAGTACTCTTTCTACGAAAAACAAAATCCGAAACGAACGAACTTTTTAGTTCCCGAAGTCCCGATATGTACGCTACAAGCTCGTCAACGTACGTCTACCTTGAACTAGCGCTCAGTTCATACTGGCAAGGAAAGTGATAATGTGCATGTGTCATGGATCCGTGCCACGCGAACTGTCTGAAAACTCAGCCTGGCACGGATTCGTGCCATACGCAGTGAAAGGGTTAATTATTACATGGCATTTAAAATTTTATAAAATATTATATATGAAAAATATTTTCTTGCATATTGGCATACCTGTTATGTCTTCCTGTGATGAACCCATGTCCTGAAAAAAAAAACAGTATGATTAGTTACATCCAAATATTATACTAATAATGTAATAATAAATACAAAACTAATAAAAATATCGTTCGCTACAAATTTACTTTTTTCGCAACTATGCAGCTTTTAGGCATCTACAAAGGATAGTCCCCATATTTTTTTAAAGCCGGGATGTCTCAGAACACAATGGATGGACACAAAATACCCGAGGGCTGAAATCAATCATAGACTATACAATCATAAGACAAAAGACTAAATTGATTGTACAGGATGTGCGGGTATATAGAGGAGCCACTTGCGGCAGTGACCACCATCTATTAAAAACAAAACTCACAATAGGAATAGATAGAGCAAGAGATTTAAAAGAAGCTGCAGAGGAAAAACTAACAGAAAAGAAATACAACCTAAACAGCTTAGAACAAGAAAGCGTGAGGGATTTATACAAGAGTAGACTAGATAAAAAGTTAGAAACCATGCAATGTACCAGCAATGAAGAGCATTATCATTATATAAAAACATGTCTTCAGGAAGCAGCAACAGAGGCTCTCGGACTCCAAGTAAAAAACCACAGAAAAACTTCGTATTGGTGGGACGAAGAAATAGAACAAGAGATTAAAAATAAAAGAGAGAAGTATAAAAAAATTTCTGAACACAAGGACCGACGCTGATAAGGTAGAATACAAGAGGACCCAAGCTAAAGTGCGAAAAATGATATGCCAAAAGAAGAATGAGGCTTGGGAGCAAAAGTGTAACATGATTAACACACATTTAGGAGGACGGAGAAGTACAGAAAGTTGGAAAGTATTAAAATCGCTACGACAGGAAAAGAAAAGAGATATAATATCATCAATCACACCGGATCAATGGGTCGAATATTTTAAAAAACTCCTGAATGAGGACAGAGCGGAATTTTTAAATAACAGTGATACCAGCAACGTAAATATCTTAGCCTCACCATTACGAATAACAACAAAAGAAGTATGTAAGTCTTTAAAAAATAACAAAGCACCAGGACCAGGGAACATACCAGCTGAACTAATAAAATATGGCACAACAAAATTATATGAAAACCTGGCTAAACTCTTTCAAAGATACATCAACGAAGCGGAAATCCCAGAAGAATGGAAGACATCATGGATATCCACCATACATAAAAAAGGCAGACGGGATCAATGTGACAACTACAGAGGCATCGCTGTAACGAACTCGATCAGCCGAATATACGGAAAACTGATTAAAATTAAAATCGAAAACGAATATAAAGATATAGAAGCTGAAGAACAGGCAGGATTCCGGGCAGGGAGATCAACGGTAGACCATCTGTTTTGTATTACACAGATTATTGAGAAAAAACTGGCCGTCAACCAGGAGGTGCATCTGTTATATGTGGACTTGAGAAAAGCGTATGATAGCATCCCACAAAACAAACTATGGGAAGCATTAGAGAAAACCAATATAAGCGCATATTTAATAACAGCGACGAAACAATTGTATACCAAAACTGCAGCAAGTTGGAAGCGGACTATCGAGAGGATTCCAAATTAGCAAAGGCCTAAAACAAAAGGCTGCCTTTCACCGACATTATTTAAGATCTACCTCGAGCAAACTCTAAAACTTTGGAAACGCAAATGCAAAAACATGGGATTACCGATCAACAACAATACAATATACACTTTGTCATTTGCAGACGACCAACTTGTACTAGCGCAAGACTACGATGATATAGAATATATGACAAGAAAATTAATAGAGGAGTACAAAAAAGGTGGTTTGGAAATAAACATAAAAAAGACCGAATATATGTGTATCGGTGGGACACAGCAGGACCTTACACTAGGGAATGGCGAAATTATTAAACATTGCGACACATATAAATACCTGGGTATGACCATCACACAAGAAGGAGACGTAGACCGGACGATAGAAGAAAGAAACAACCAGGGAAGAAAAGCAATTACCCTTCTCAATAGCATACTGTGGGACCAGGCAATATCAAACAACAACAAACATAGAATATACAATACAATTGTTAAGAGTATAATCACTTACAGCAGTGAAGTATGGCAAATAAAAGAAAGATACAAGAGAAAACTTGATGCAACAGAAAGGGATTTCTGCAGGCGCTCAGCAGGAAAATCAAGATTAGAAAGGGTAACCAACAACATAATTAGGGAAATAATGAATGTGAAACACACAATAGTAGATGACATTAGTACCAAACAGCTTAGATGGTATGGACACGTACAAAGAATGTCCGAAGAACGACTCCCGAAACAAATCCTAACGTGGACCCCTCATGGTAGACGAAAAAGAGGAAGACCACGCCTTAGTTGGAGAGAAGGCATAAGTCGAAGTATGAGAGAAAGAGAATTAGATGAAGACCTTTGGATGGACCGAAGTGAATGGCGACTAGGCATCGGAAGACGTAGGAGAACGTTTTAAAACCGATATATAATATATATATATATATATATATATTATATATATATATATATATATAATATATATTATAATATATTTACGGCATAAAGTGAACTCCGCCCATGTTAAAATTCAGGTTTAAGTGAGCTCCGTGGTCAAGTGGACACCAATATACGGAGCTCACTTGACCATTCCATAATATTGGCTCTGTTGTTTCGTTAAGATGTATAGTTTCATAATTCTTAATAAAATTTTGGAGCTCATAAGTACCCCTGTATCATAAATGTATTTCGCTTAGTTCACGTGTATATATTATAGGGGTCGTTCAGATCCTTGTCACTGTATATTGGAACCATCAGAATATCGGTTTAAGTAAGCTCTGATAGTTTGGCAACTATGCAATCAAGCCGTAGAGCTCCAGCGTTCTTGATATATACATTTTATATATTTTAAACGGTTTATACGGACTCCTGATTTTTTTAATCATTCATACACATTGCAATATGTAATAGATATGTATACTACCAAATACCTGTTTTTGGTAGGTACATGCTGTTCTAAAAATAGCTTTATAAATACAAAAGGATTTCATTACCAAATTGGATGTGTTTTTCATATGCTGAAATTTCCTAATGTATTTTTTTAACATGAGTATGTCTTTGTACGATTTATTTAAGGATAGGATTTATAAGAATGTCTTTTATTTCATCCATTGTTTTACGATATCTTGTATACAGCTTCTTTATTATTTTATTTATGATTTTATCTGTGTACTACATATTATTATAATTCTGGATGGGTTATCTTAAAATAAATATTTAAGTGCTAAAAGTGATATTTTTATGTAAAAATGGGTAGTAGTGCACAAAAAAAGGGAAGAATGCTTAATTTATCTAACAAGAATATACCACTTTACCGATATTACATACTTCTGAATGTTTTATCTTTTATTTAGGGGTAATGTAATTAATATAATTACATTACCCCTAAATAAAAGATAATTATTCGGCAGGGCTGTGTGTTGTCTCCAACCTTGTTCAATGTCTACGCGGAAGAAGTTATTAAAAAAGCTCTTATGAACGAAAAAGCCGGAATAAAGATGAACGGTCACCCCATTTGCAATATCCGATATGCTAATGATACCGCGCTCATAGCAGAAAATATTGAAGACCTACAGAGATTACTAAACAAAGTGGTAGAAGCAAGTGAAGAATTTGGTCTGTCACTGAATACAAAGAAGACGAAATTCATGATAATTACAAAGAAACGTATCAATAATATCAACTTACATGTAGGACAGAATCTCATTGAACGAGTACAAAATTACAATTACCTCGGAACAAATATTAACGAGTCAAACGAATACACCAGAGAAATAAGAATAAGAATAGAGAAAGCCCGCAGTGCCTTTAACAATATGAAACAAATGTTGTGTAGCCGTAACCTAAGCCTAAAGCTGAAAATACGAATGCTTAAATGTTATGTTTTCTCGGTCCTGTTGTATGGGGTGGAGGCGTGGACACTAAATAAGCAATGTATGGGTAAGCTGGAGGCATTTGAGATGTGGGCGTACCGAAGAATGTTAAAAATCTCCTGGAAGGATAAGATAACTAACCAAGTTGTATTAGACAGGATGAACAAACAAAAGGAGGTCGTATTTAGTGTTAAAATGAGGAAACTACAATACCTGGGACATATTACACGTGGGAATAAATATCAACTGTTACAACTAATTATGCAAGGGAAGATTGAAGGTAGGCGCAGCATAGGTAGGAGAAGAATGTCGTGGTTGAGAAACCTCAGGGAGTGGTTTGCTTGCACTTCCGTACAATTGTTCCGAGCGGCAGCCTCCAGGGTCAAAATTGCCATGATGATAGCCAACCTTCGTAGCGGAGATGGCACGTGAAGAAGAAAAGAAATTAATATAAGTGGAGTTAGTGTCAAATTTACAATAATCTTTATAAGCAATAGTTTACTTTATATGTTCTGACTGTACTTTATATGTTCAGTTCAAAGTCAAATAAGAAGGTGTGATAAATCTTGTACTGCCTACATTTGCACAGGTTAACCGGTATTTACTAGCAAGAGTCCTCCTCGCAGATTTTACGAAGATAACTACCATAAGGAAATTCCTCTCGAGCGTTCAGATGGCGAGGAGCAGCTTATCTTTTTTTTTATTTCTTGCAATGTGTATATGTGTTGATCTGGTCAGTGTTTTCTCGATTTTAGTCATAAATTGGTCTGGTATTCGTTGAGTGGATGTTGCGATTTTAGACTTTGTATCTTTTATTCTATAGATACTTATCTTCGGATATTAGGTGAATTGATAGCTAAGATATTGTAGAGCTTATGTATGAATGTGTGTGTCTTAATATCCGCTTAATTTGACTGACTAATTTATAGCTAAATCTACGTGTTAAGTATGTGTTGGTATCATCTATACTTACAAGGTATATTCGACAGCAGAAGCATAGAGTGCAAGCGTCTACGTTTTAAGGATGGAAGGATGCGCTTCTTAGCAATTTAGCTGACAAGTTTCCAGAGATTACTTTTCTGGTCCTCAGTTTACCTCTTAGTTTTAAA